CCTGTCCTGTTCTACTTGAGCTTTTTCCTTCTTCTCTGCTATCTACAAAGCAAAATAACGTGTGTTTTTTCTTTTTTGTTGATACTGTGTTTATGAAATATATTTTAATTAAATATTTAACATACATGCAATTACATAACAATAAAAATTCTTGCATACAATGTCTTTTATACTTATATTTACATGTATATACTTGTTTCCAAAATTTACTATCTTATCTATTATGTTTTAGACAAAACTTTTAAATATTATGCATGTTTTCATTAAAATAAATAAACTAATGAAATAAAGATCTATGTTATTATAATTCAATAAATTCTACTGGATAAAAAATTTAAACATGACTTAAAACAGTGATACCACCTTATTTACATTTTTATTAAGGTATTCAAAAAGTATACTATTCCATTTTAAACATACAAAAAAGGTGGACAGGAGTATAAAATGTGAAATTCAATAAGAAGTAAACTTGCATTAAGTGTGGATAAACAGAGAAACAACCAAATATACAAACTTTTTTCTTTTTCCAAGCCAAGAATGTTTCTAATGAAATTCTGATCAAGTTAGACCCAAGAGCTGCTCTCTGGAAGTACACAGAATGTAATGATACAATTCTATAAATCAGATAGAATGCAATATATATTACAAATTACAAAGAGAATACAATTTTATAAGTTACATAAAGCAATGATGTAATTTTACAAATGCATACAGATAATGATTTGATTTAAGTACAGGGAATATAACTTTATAAAAGTATGATACTATTCAATAAGTGATGTAATAACAAAGTATACAGGATACAATATAGTTCTACAAAATTATACTAAAAACAATGATGTACTTTTACTTAACTGCAGAGAATACAATTTAACTTCATATAAACACCTATCATTTAACAACTGAATTTTGAGAAAGAGGGGAAAACAATGTAAATATAAGATCTTAGGAAACATTACAAAACAAAACTGAGAAAAATGATGTCTAAACTTTATATCAGCTGAATGATAATTGTAAAATATAAAAGACTGTTTAGTGTAACTAGTGTTATTAATTAATTTATTTTGTGTTTGTCAAGGCTATCAAACGTTGTCCTTGCAATCCATTGATGTTGAAGCTATGGAGAATTCTAGAAGGACAACGTGATAGACATATAAATATCTGCAATCAGACGAGCGGAAAGAGAATAAAAGTAAAGTTATGTGATAGAGAGCTTCTGTCAGAGAAAAGTTAGAAAACATAAAGTTAACAGTCACAAGAGTGAATGGTCTAACAGTTAACATATTAGAATGAGATTAACAGTTTGAAAGAGATGAGGAGAATAATCTGTCTTGTCAAAGGGTGTTCTAAACTAATTGAACCCGCCTATGTGCACTTTGATAAAAGGCAGACGATTATTGGAAATTCAGGATACAACTGCGGTAACACATGCGACAGTATAAGTGAATTATACATTGATACTATTGTAATAAAAATAGAGAAAAACAGTTTGGCTTTTCAGCTAAACTCTAAAGCAATTGAATTGGCCTAAGTGGACTTTTGACAAGAAGAAGAGAACTGTATAGTGTTTAAGATACAACAATGATCTCCATAGTGTAAAGAATTTTGTACATACGTTTAACTTGTTTCAAATATATATACAAATTATTTTAAAAACAACGTGGAGTGTGTGCTAGTCATTTATTGTCGAATTTATCACCACCAAGTCACAGACACCCACTGTAGAAGAATCCTTAGCCCAACATACCTATATATTTACACTATTATATATACTACTAAAAAGTAAGCTTACAATAATAATAATAATCAATAAATGAAAGTATTCATCTTTAGTTAAAACACTTATCACTTAGACTAAATCTTAATATTCACAGAAACTAAAAAATCAAAAAAATCTTCAAGGTCAAAATAAATTAGTGCAATTATGCTATTAACTAGTTATATACAAATAGGCTTGAGTATTCATAAATTTTAATCCTAATTTCTATTAAGTGTAACAGACAATAAAAAGAATCCATGTAGATATCACAAATCATAATGAACCTCATGTCAAATAAAGTACCAGAGCTAAACTATATCAAAAATAAAAGGTTACAACTTCATGCCTGAGAAATAGGAGTTCCAGCAATTGTAAATAAAACCAATGCTTTGGCTTTTGTAGATACATTGGTTCATTTTGCATGTTTAAAATTTTCATCTAAAATCTTTGCTGACATCACTGGTTTAGTGCAATATTTCTGGACATGATGGCACAGAACAAAACTAATATAATTGCTTGTGGCAAACTGACAGAATTATTCATTAAAAACATCTACACTTTCAACACAAAAGATCCTTTCACTTGTAAGTTTCAAGATGATATAATAAAATAATACTAAACCAACACCTGGCCCAAATAGGCATTAAAAGATAAAATAAACTAGTTCTATCAACTCTTTCAGCACAGGTTTGGTCCCTTGGAACAACCTCGTAACCATTTTGTTCTTGTTACTGTTGTCATGCTATAATATTTAAATTAGTAAGCGTATGTTAACGAAATTTGGCAGATTATCAGTAAACATTACAATGCTTTCATATGCAAAATATCACATTTTTTTATTAAGTTATATGGTTTGTTGAGTAATGTTTTTCTCATGCCTTTTTCATATTGCCTGTCTTACATGCAAAATAATTTTCATTTTAAGATTAAAAATACTTTTATGCATCAGAAAATTTTCAAATTTCACATGCAAAATCTTTATAATGTCCAGATAGTTATTAAATGTTTCTTAAGAAAAAACCTTAATATTTTATCTGATATTTTCCCTAACAAATTTCTTTACAGGTTCAGTAGATTTGACCAACCTTGTAAAAATTAGGAAATAAATATGAATTATGCCTCTTTCTTTCTAGAATGACAACAAATTATAACATGAAAACATAAATGTTTAGACGAAATAGCTTAAATCACATAACATTATACATTTCTATATATTTATTATTTTTATTATATTGACCTTTCAGCCATGCCTGGTTAACAATACAGAAGTTAAAATGACATGGCACATTTGCTCTCATGTTACTATATCCAATAATATAAAACTGACCTTTAATCTTTACAAAGTGACCTGTCTTGGCTGGGATTTAGTAGACTAGTATTTTGTAAAATACAGTCACATTTCCATAATCATATTACGTCATCAAGAAATTAATGTCGCATTTTGGAACACTTTCATTACCCCCCCCCAAAAAAAACATACATCACATATAATAGTTAAATGAACCACCTAAATGTCATGTTAGTGTAGTCTATATAATGTGCAAAGTTTAAAATACTCTAATCCCTTATAATGATGGCACATGATGGAGACACACATTTGGCATGTAATGCTGTTTGAATACAAGAAGGGAAACAATGCCTCTGAAGCCACATGGAATATCAAAGAATGTTTTAAACATTCTTAAGTGTCAAGGATGATTCAGCAAATTTTATTCAGGTGACTTTAGCCTTAAAAACTGTGATGGCAGGGGCTGAGATGTTGGAATTGATATTGATGCTCTGAAGACGCTTGTTGAGTCTAACTCAAGGCAACACATTTGTGAAATGGCCCTGAAATTGCATGTCTTTCATGAAACAATACGTAAACATCTAAGGAATATGGAAAACTCCATAAAGAGGTGTTTGGGTGCCTCACAAACTCTCTAACGATCATTGTTTCCAATGTGTGAACATTGCTTCGTTTCTTCTAGCACATAATGCTTGTGAACCATTTTTGGACAGAATTGTCACTGGTGATGAAAAATGGATTCTCTATATGAATATTAAAAACCACAAACAATGGGTCAGTCCTTGACAAAAACCACTTCCGACCCCAAAACCTGGAGTCCATCCGCAGAAAGTGATGCTTTGCATTTGGTGGGACACCAAAGGAGTAAGTCATTTCAAACTCCTCAATCAACAGCAAACTGTCAATGCAGAGATCTATAGTCAGCAACTGGAATGTTTAAATCAAGCCTTTGATCGGAAACGTCAATCGGAAAGGTGTTCTTCTTCTCCACGACAATGAACGTCCACATGTGGCACGTTTGACGCAACACGAGATTATGGAGTTGGGTTGGGAAGTTCTCCCCTACCCACCATATTCTCCAGATATGGCACCATCAGATTACCATCTTTTGTTTGCTGCAACACCATCTTAATGGGAAAACGTATG